ACTTCCTCCACCAGCTGAGACAACAGAATACTTTTCTACGTGAACAGACTGCCTTGTAAAGATGAGCATCCCTTACTGGGTGTCTGTTTCTTCTTTAATGGTCTATCACACAACCAGGCATCATGCAAAGACAAAATTGAAAATATGTATCTTCTGACCTCAAGAAACTAAGATGTACACAGGTTGACCAAGACACCAGAGATACAGTTAGAACTTTCCTCTGGCCAAACTCTTAAGGACTCGTGCCATTCAGGTGGGCTGGACTCAAAGCCCCCCCCAACTGACCTTTTGAGGCTGTAAATCTCAAGGAAAGAATATGTCCTCTATATGCAGAGTTTCTACAAAGTCTGTATTTTTCTCTAAGTCTTGGTCTATAGAGTCCATTATTTGTAAATATCGCCAATTTCTAAATAAAGCTTTTTTAATAACACACACCTTGTGTTTTTAATTATAAAAGGTAATGAGGGTGAAACCAAGTTCCTCCTTGGAGGCTAGGATTTTGAAGCTTCGTCCCACTTACTTTGGGCACATAGCCAGGAGAGACCAGTCCTGCAAGAAGGACATCATACTCGGAAGGGTAGAGGGACAGCACAGGAAGAAGAAGACCCCAGATGAGATGGATTGACTCAGTAACTAGGGCAATAGGGGTAGGCGTGTTGGAGTCAGTGAGACTGGCTCAGGACAGGACACTGTTCAGAGCTGCTGCACATAGGTTCATTATGAGTCGCAGGTGACTTGACAGCACATAACAACAACAATAACAAGGGGGGAAGTAAAAAGAGGTAATTAAAAAATTGTATGTGTTGTATGATTGAATCAGTGCAGAAAAGGAGCATGTAAGGATAAGCCAGGTCTTAAGTATCACATACAATTTTAAAGTAATTTTAACTATATGTAATATAAGGTGTTTGCTCTGTGCCAATCAGTTCTCTCTCTCTCTCTCAGTGAGTGTGTTTGTGTACACACAGAAACTCCTAAGACAATTATTATTGTGAAACTCATTTTTTTAAAAAAAATTATTATTTTTTTGTTTGTGTGCCGTCAAACTGGATCTGACTGGTACAGAAGGAGTTTGCCCCCCTTTCTCCAGCAGAGCATCTGGTGGATTCAAACCATGTACCCCTGGTGTTATACCCATTTTACAGATGACAAAGAGATCAAGCAAGCACAGATAGGAAAATGCTAAGAGGTTGATGGTGGGAATGAGAGAGTGCAATGTAACACTAAGAATTTTAGAAAGATAAAAACCTGCCATCGTACACAAGTGCTGAACTGAGGTCAATAAAAATCTGAAAGGAAATAAGAAATTCCTGCGTTGCCACCGAAGTTAGATGACGGGACATGTAGCAAGCAAGACGGAGTAGCACACAAAGCAGTGATTTAAGTTACTCTGAGTACGCGAACACCCTGTGACCTTTTCAGGAAAAGAGTCGGGATTTTCAAGCTCCTAACAAAGACACCTTTAGTAACTGTCAGAAAAATAGAAACACTGACGTAGTAAAGATAATCCAGACTAGTTAGCAGCGTCAATCAGCCATGGCCTGCATGGTTCTGTTGGGTACACTGGGTACCTACCCTGAAATGAAAATTAAAGCTTCATTTCAATATTGAGGTTTGGGTCCTAATCTTCAGAAGCCCTGGCTGAACATCTGGTGTCACATACCATTATTAAAAATAAGTCAGGAGAAACACCCCGGGCACATGTTCCTAACATAGGTAAGAAGGCACAAGTTAGACTGGGGCCCAAGATTGTTGTTGTTGTTGTTATGTGCCATCGAGTCGTTTCCGACTCATAGCAACCCTATGCACAACAGCTCTAAACCCTGCTCTATCCTGCGCCAACCGCACCGCCTCTGACACACCCATCCTGATTACCCCAGTCACTGAATCAATCCATCTCATAGAGGGTCTTCCCCTCCTGTGCTGTCCCTCCACCCTCCCAAGCATGATGTCCCTCTCCAAGGACCCGTCCCTCCTGGCAACATGTCCAAAGTATGTCAGATGAAGCCCCAGAATCCTTGCCTCCAAGGAGTAGCTTGGTTTAATCCTCTCCAAGATGAATCTGTTTGTTTTCCTGGCAGTCCATGGTACATTCAGTACCCTTCTCCAGCACCACAGCTCAAAAGCATCCACTCTCCTTCTGTCCTCCCTAGTCATTGTCCAACTCTCTGATGCATAACAAGCGATTGCAAAGACCATGGCCTGTATCAGGCACACCTTAGAGACCCTGTTGCTCCTGAGTACCTTTGAGAGGTCCCTAACAGCAGACTTTCCCATCGCGATACGCTTTTTGATTTCCTGACTGCTGATACCAAGAGTGTTAACTGTGGAGCCGAGCAAAGTGAAGCTGTGAACACTCTCAATCTCTTCATCATCCATCTTGACGCTGCCAATTGGTCCAGTGGCGAGAATCTTTGTCTTCTTGACGTTGAGCCTTAGTCCATACTGAAGGCTGCAGTCCTTGACCCTCCGCAGCAAGTGCATGAGGTCCTCCTCAGTTTCAGCAAGCAAGGTTGTGTCATCTGCATAACGGAGATTGTTGATAGATCTTCCACCAATTCTGATGCCACAATTCTCCTCATAGAGCCTAGCCTCTCGGATAATCTGCTCTGCATACATGTTGAAAAGGTATGGAGACAGGATGCATCCCTGGCGTACACCCTTCCCTATTTTGAACCATGCAGTGTTACCCTGCTCTGTTCTGACTACTGCCTCTTGGTCCAAGTATAGGTTTCGTATTAGCACAATTAAATGTTCTGGGATTCCCATTCTTCTCAGAGTCAGCCACAGTTTGTTATGATCCACACAGTCAAATGCCTTTGCATAATCAATGAAACACAGATAGACATTCTTCTGGTATTCCCTGCTTTCAGCCAAGATCTTGGCTGAAAGCAGGGGCCCAAGATAGTTGCTTTTTTTTCCCAATTTAATAAACCCACTGAGTAACAATTATGTTTGCAACATAAAAGAGAAACCTTTTTGATGAACAGTCACAGAAACACTATGTTGCTAAAAATGATGACTTAGAATATTATGAACCACATACTGTAAAGCAAGGATACTACAGTTAGAGTACTAGTTTGAATCACATTTTAGTCAACTAGTTTTGTCTGGCTATAGTCCTTGGTGTCTTTCTCCATCTTTATAAGGGTTCAAGAGAATGAAACAAAAAGAGTATTTGCAACACTCTGAAAGAAATGCTTGCCACACTGTAGCAGCCTAACTTGTGTTAGTTATTCTTTTTATTCTATATATTAAACAAATAAAAACCAAGCTCTTGTCATTGTGTCAACCTTGACTCACAGTGACCACATATGTGAGAGAGAACTGAGGTCCACCAACATTTCCTCATTATGCACAACCTCCACCCGAGACATACTGGCAAACCACAGCTCTGAAGGCACCGGAAGGAAGTGGTGCACACCTGCCTAATTATTTTGAGGAATTACTCTTTTCTGTATTCTGTAACTTTGGGTCTGAAAGAGAATCACTGACTTCATCGACAGCAGCACACATGCGTCTTTCTACAGAGGTATGGAGGTGTTACTTGATATAAAATTATTCTTTCTGATTTCACGTCCCTGGTATGGGGCTTTCCATCCCAAAGACAGAAGGCTCAGGAAACTGCAAAACGGACAGCCCATAGTTTTAAAAACAAACAATCAAACTGCTCTGCCAGTGTCAAAGCATTCATCTGTATCTAAGCAGGCAGCCTGGGCATCTGTGCCATGCTTCTGCAGCGTTTTTATAAAATCTTGTGAAAGGGAGGTTGTGAGGCTTGTTAAAGATTTTTAATGATAATTGTTACTATACAAGGCTAATTATAAAACCTGGCTCAGAGAGTGACAGACATACGGCATAAATCATTATGGCTGGTACAAAACTAAGCCAAGCTTTTCATTTTCTACCACGTCCCATCATACTTTCTTTCTTTCTTTCCTATCTTACACCAGCCTCCCACTTCCCCTGTACTTGACTTCAATTTTATGATGGCCAGTGAATAAAGTTAATCGTTATAAATCCTATGCCTTCATCTATTTAAGATGTGTAACATGAATAGAAGAAATAACCCAGATGTTCTTCCACGGATGAGTGGATTAACAACATGTGATATATATCCACAGAATGGAATATTCTAGGCCTATAAAAAGGTTATTAAGCACTGACACACAGTATGACATAAATAGAAATTGAAAACATCAAGTGAAAGAACTCAGTGATCAAAGTCCACATAGTATATGACTCCAGTCATATATATAAAATGTCCAGAACAGAAAAAATCTAGATAAACCAGTAACAGTTACTTAGGGCCAAGGGGAGGCTAACGGGTATAGAGTTTCTTTTTGAGGTGATAAAAATCTTCTAAAATTGACTATGTTGATGGTTATCCAGCTCTGTTAATTTACAGTGGATTATACATTTTAAATAGATGAACTATACAACACCTGATTACAAAGACTAAAAAAGATAGTACAGAAGATGAATGAAGTGTAAAATGGACAATCTCCTCTGGTGTGATTTATGGCCTCTGGAAGGAAACTCGCTGGAGGGTCAGTGATGAGTCAGTTCTAATTTGATGGAAATGAGTTTGAGTTTTTTAGTTTTGTTCTTATACAGGTGTCCCGGTGGGCTGTTGGGTAAGACACCTAGCTGCTAACCAAAAGGTTGGCAGTTCAAAACCTCCTACCACTCTTCGGGAGAAGGAACAACGTGGCCACTTACTTCCTTAAAGACCACAGCCTCGGGACCCCTCGGGGGCAGTTCTGCTGTGTCTTACGGGGTCACAGTGAGTCAGAACAGACTTGATGGCAGTGAACTTGGGTTTGGGCTTTGTCAACATAATATACGACATTTTAAATCTTGAAAGCTATCATTAAATATCCTTTATGAGAAGGTTTCACTTTTACACGTCAAGTGGGGAATCTGCGCTTAACAAGGACTCTCACTTTACAGACATTACCTCTGAGCTAATATATACGTTGACTGAGAAGCAGGCTTACTTTTGCTCCACATAGAGAGGATCGAAGAACTCGGTGGTGATCTTGTTTGCATACAGAGAACAGCCAGTCATGGAGCAGAGCCCTAGAAGCACCAAGGGAAGCATGACGGTTAGTATCTGCTTATTAGGGCCTGGGATCACCTTGTTTGCAGAAGAGTTACTCTTTACCTGACAGTATGAACACAATTCCAGCCAGACAAGCAATTTTCGCTTTGGCTTTATCGGAGCCTCCGACTTTGGTACACTTCATTCCAAACAGTGCAAATATGGAGCCAAAAAAGCCCAGGCTGACAGCGGCAATCATAAGTCCTCTACACGCCTGGATGTAACCTGCAATCAGAAAAGGTGATTTCACGTTAGCGCAAAGCACCAGGCCGTCCGCGGGTGAATCCTCATGCTACGTCTTCATGCGGGACCCTCGCTCCCTTTTCTAGTGCAAACACATGGTAAGAGAAAGAAGAAAGGAAAACAAGTTCTATTTGAGCACCTTTTATATGGTCCATACTTTTAAGGGCAGTTTGTGTGGAACTCCCAGAATAGATACTGGGAGCTATTATTCACATTTTCGTTGATGAGGAAATGAAGGCGTGAGTAAGGCGCATAACTTAATTCCATTCTAAATTGAATGTCAAGTCCACGTCTGTGTCTCCTGCCTTGAGAGACACCTGGCACTAGATTAACCCACCAACTCCTCCGCACACTCAAAAAAGTCAAGTTCATGGCTGTTCAATCACAACTGACTCAGCTGATCCTCCATTGCATTTCAGAGGCAGCAAATTGCACAAAACTATCCATTTCTGCCCCCGCCCCAGCCTCCATGGAGCTGCTGGTGGATTTGAACCATCAGAGAAAGGCATGGCCTTTTGGGTTAAAAGCACAACTCCCTATGGACCCCACCCCCACCCCCAGTGCGCTCTGCCTCTACACAGTAGGCCTTCGAAATAAATGACTTAATGGTTCTGACTCTAAAATTATAAAACTAGCTGGGCAGTCAATCTCGCAAAAGGTCAGATCTTCCAATTCAACGAAAAACTTGCAAATGCTGAAAGATCATCTTGAACTATGTGAAGTTGTCCTCATCAACTATTGTAATGAGCTTTTAATATTTTCAGGGCACACGAAACATAATGGAATTTTTTAAAAAAGTATTATTCCACGTAGTTGTTGTTGACTGTCGTCAAGTCGAGCCCGACTTGTAGCGACCCTATGAACAAAAGGCCTGAAGCCCCTCTACAACTATCGACACTTATCAAAGTTCATAGAATTTCCAGAGGCATGTTATTTAGGAACTGGATGCCACTCCTGATCCCAAATTGTTCTGTAGAAGAAGAATTTCTAATTGTTACATGCGCTGTTTACATATAAATGAGTGCTTACAAAGTGTGTTCTGTTTGAGCCTTCTTCCCGTACGCTGGCTCGCACCATCCGTTCTTTTAGCCACATATTTTTATTTGAAGAGCCAGGGAGATAATGTACTTCAGCCCAGCTTTTACCTAAACACTAACAAGGCTTCATTAGTAGAGTTTAAGCTAACAAACTTTTACCACACAAGGTTATCTTTCATTTCAATCTGAAATAGTATGATATTTCATTCTGAAATATTGGTTGCAGGCCAGTATTAAGTATACTTAACTTTCCTGATAAATATTTGTTAAGTAAATACACTTACATCACGCTTACATTTGGAATTAAACCTTTTCATTTATTTTGAAATGTCAAGACACAGCAAATTATTTCTTTTCCAGGGAGAAAGAAATTTTCAGGGGGGGAAAACACCCCCGCAGTAAAATTTTCATTTCTATCCTAAGAAACATGAACTAGATAGAGGTCATGTACCAGCATTTGGTGCCTGAACTTATGATTATCATACTCTTAAAATTATTACAGTTTCTCTCAACTCATGGGATAAAATTGCAAAAGCAAAAATGAGATGCCGTACTCAATTGTAATACCTTTAGGCTCTCACAAACTCAGACTGCAATTCTAATGAACTCTTATTCAATAATGTGAACTGAGTCCACACAAGAGAATTTTGCTGATGTTAAGACTGTAAGAAAAAGCAAAAGCAATTTCTTTTCAGTAAAACAGGAAATGAGGGCTTATTTTGATGGCAATAATCATAACACAGGACTGTCTGGGTCTTGACTGCCATACACTAAACCAGCTTGATTTTAAACTTCAATCCTCAAATCTCCCAGCCAGAGTCTAGGTGGAGCAGATAAAGTCACAAAGAGAGGTAAGAATCTGGTTAGTCTCTTATAAGATGAAAAGAGTCTACTTCATAATCATAAAACCAGCTTAGCATTTGTAACCAGATCTACTGCCAAGATGTGGTTTGATCATTTGAGATTTAATCTGATTTATGGCTACCATAGTTTGGCCATTCACTTTCATTATTAAGGAAACACATAAAGAGAAGGGGAATGGACAAGGCTCTATAACATTTAAAAAAAATCTAACCTTGAAAGCTTCACCTAGTGCCATAATTTGCATATTTACATTCACTTACCTCATAAACTTTAATCAAAGAAAAGGTTGTTGTCGGTGTTGTTGTTATGTGCCATCGAGTCACTTACAACTCTTAGTGATCCTATGTACAAGAGACCTAAACGCCGTTCTATCCTGTGCCAACCTCGCTGTCTCAAACACACTCATTCCCACCACTCCAGTCACAGAATTGATCCATCTCATCAAGGGTCTTCCTCTCCTGCGCCATCCCTCTACTCTGCCAAACATGATGTCCCTCTCCAAGGACCAGTCCCTCCATGCAACATGCCAAAAGCATGTCAGAAGAAGCTTCAGAATCCTTGACTCAAAGGCGCACTCTGGTTTCACCTCTCCAGGACAAACCTGTTTGTCCTCCTAGCAGTCCATGGTATATTCAACACTCTTCTCCAGCACCACAGCTCAAAGGCATCAGTTCTTTTTCTATCATCCTCTATTCACTGTCCAACTCTCCAATGCATAGCACGTAATTTCCTGGCTGCTGTTACCAAGAGTGTTGACTGTGGAACCAACCAAACTAAAACTGTTAACTATATCAATCTCTTCACCATCCATACTGATGCTGCCAATTGGCCCAGTGGTGAGAATCTTTGTTTTCTTGATACTGAGCTTCAATCCATATAGGAGGCTGCAGTCCTTGACCTTCTGCAGCAAGCACTAGCAGGTTAAATTCTACAGTTTGGCCACACAGAACATGGATTACAGTTTCCCAGGTGGCCGGAATCCCAGGTCAGCCCATTTCTCCAGCAGGCTTATGAGGCATTCTGGTGGCCTTGCAGGCAAAGACTCTCACCACCCACTCAAAGGCACTTAGTTCAAATCCACATTCTGCTCTCAGGGAGAAAAATGGACAATTTCTTCTTATCTAATTTACAACCTGTAATCTCAATGGCTCAATGATGGGTCAGTTCTAACTCAGGGCACATTAACAACAATGAAATCTCAATGGGAGAAGAATGGCACCACCAGTGCATTTGAAGCACTGGAGGCTTGAGGCATTTTGGATGGCAGTTCCACACACTATGAACCAGGCCACCAGAACTCCTTGGTAGAATACAAGCCCTTAGAGCCAGTTCCAACTCAGACCTGACCATTCATCGGTTCCCAAGGCTGTAAAATCCAGGGGAGGAGACCAGTCACCTTTCTCCAGAGGAGCAGCAGATGGATTTGAATTACTAGAGAAGCACAATTCTCTAGGGACTATACCACGAGGGCTGCCTCATGAAAGAGGGTGTAGTCAAGTCAACTGTGACGCACAGGGACCCTAAGAGCAACAGATCCGAACTATGCCTTATCCTATGCCGTCCTAGCCATCTCAGATACGTTCCTATCCACTGTTACAGTCACAGTGTCAACCGATTTTCTTCTCTTTCTGTGACCTCACCTTTCCCAGCATATCTTTTCTCCCAAGGACAGGCTCCGCCTAATGACATGCCCAAAGCAAGAGATGAAGTTTTACCATTGTCGCCTCTATGGAACAAACTGATTGTTTCTCCTCCAAGACAGCCTTGATTACGATCCATGGGATACTCAGAGATCTTCTCTCCTATTATGAGTAATATTGTTGTTCTTATGTACCGTTGAATCAGAACCAACACAGATAATTCTCCAGCAAGTTTTCAGAGGCATTAAATTGCATGGAAGGGTGCAACAATGAATGAATGGAATTCCAAAATCTCTGTAGATGTTCATTGAAATGAAAAATAAACAACCTAAATTTTAAAAAAAATTGCATGGAAGGAGATTTTCCATCTTTTTCTCATGGAGCAAGTGGTGGATTTGAACCCTGTACCTTTGGGTTGGTAGCACAATTCCTTACCACTAATCCACTGGAGCTGCTATTGTTTTTAGGTGCCATTGGGGGATGTACAACTCACAGCAACCCTATGAACAACAGATCTGAACGCTGCTCTATCCTGTATCATCCTCAACAGCTATGCCACACTAGAGCCCATGGCTACGGTCACTATGTCAATCCATCTCGTTAACAGTCTTCCCCTTCTTTGCTGATTCTCCACTTTCCCAAGTATGATGTCCATTTCCAAGGACTAGCCCCTCCTAACAACATACTCAGAGTGTGTGGGATGAAGTCTCACTATCCTTCCCTCTAAGGAGCATCCTGGCTGCACTCTCTCCAAGACATACATGTTCACTTTCTCAGCAAGCCATGGGATATTTGATGTTCTTCTCCAGTGTCACAACTCAAAGGCATAGATTCTTCTTCTGTCGTCTTTATTCACTGCCCAACTCTCAGATGTACAGCATGTAATTGAAAAGACTTTGTCTTGGATTATGTAAATGATACAACCTTGCATGCTGAAACTGAGGAGGCCTTGAAGACCTTGCTGCAGAAGGTCAAGGACTGTAGTATTCAAGATGGATTGAAGCTCAACATCAAGAAGACAAAGAGTCTCATCATTGGGCCAACTGGCAGCACCATGATGGATGGAGAAGAGATTGAGGTTGTTAACAGTTACAACTTGTTCAGCTCCACAATCAATATTCTTGGCACTGTCAGGAAATCAAAAGATGAATTGCATTAGGTAAAACTGCTGTGAGGAAACTTTTCAGAGTACCAAGAAGCAACAATGTCAGTCTAGAGACTAAGGTGCACCTGATCCAATCCATGGCCTTTGCAATTACTTGCTATGCATCAGAGAGCTAGACAATGACTAATATGAATTGATGCCTTTGAGTTGTGGTACTGGAGAGGAGTCTTAAATATACCATGGAACTCCAAGAAAACAAACAGGTCTGTCTTGGGGAGAGTGAAACCAAGTTTCTCCTTGGAGGCTAGTATTTTGAAGCTCCATCTCATATATTTT